TTGGTGCCGCTAACCTCCCGCACCGTGCGCACAACGACCTCCTGTTGTGGCTGGGCAGCCACAGCAGCACCATTGTTGTCGTCTATCTCCAAACCGTCCGTCATCGCCAGCGATTAGTCCAGCGATGGCGCTTGTACGGCTCCGATACCACTTGTTAGCCCCTGGATCTCCGGCACGGGTGAGCCGACCACTCATCAGCGTTGCCGACCACACACTAGACTGTCATGCTGCTACAGTGACTAGATGTGACAGCAAGGCTGACTTTGGCGCTTGCCCCTGCCGTGGCTAAAGATGGCAACCGCTAATATCCGCGCGGATAGTGGCTTCGCATGCCCGCGCCCACGAGAAAAATCTCATGCCCGCATCCGCGCCCGCCACCCGCCACGGGCAACAACCTGTGCCCATGCCCATGCCCGCGGGCACAGATTCATGCTCGTATCCGCGCCCGCCGGGTCGGGTGCCCGCGGGTACGTGGGTTTTTTTCTGCCCGTTGCCATCTTTAGTAATATCTGCACGGATAGTGGCTTTGCACGCCCGCGCCCGCGAGAAAAATCTCATGCTCGTACCCGCGCCCGCAACCCGCCACGGGCAGCAACCTGTGCCCGTGCTCGTGCCCGCGGGCACAGATTCATGCCCGTATCCACGGTCGCCGGGTCAGGTGCCCGTGGGTACGCGGGTTTTTTCTGCCCGTTGCCATCTTTAGCTGTGGCTACAGTGCGGTAAGGTTGCCTTACGGCGCCTGTCCTCTGCAGCTGCTACAGTGCAGCAGCAGGGAGCCTTTTCGACGCCGTCTATCCCTGCCGCGCGTTCACAAAAGAGAAGCAGGAGATTACTTATCAGAGGCGTCCCACCCCGAGGGAGTCTCCCTTAATTATGAGGTCAGAAATCTGACACTTGTTTTTTTATTATTTTGGTCTGTCATGTTTAGTTGGCCTGGTCACTGAGGCCTGTCTTCTGTAAGATGAGGTGTCGATGATGCGAACCACAAACAAAAGTTGTCGGCGTTGGAGGTCATAAATGTTGCTATCACTACGATCGCCAATTTGTTATATAGGCCAGCTTTATATAGTCCTTACATAATAATCTTATAAGCTGTCTTCAGTCAGTTTATCTCACCCTCCACACTTATAAGCTGCATTGTATAAGCTAGTGGTAAACAACGAAAATTAAAAACCTAGGCTCTGACTGAATTGGTTGCCTTTGTTCCGATAAATGTACAAGTAACCATGCTAAATTTCAATGGAATTGTTAGGTTTGGTTTGGTAATTGGAAGGATGAAATGGGAGTTTAGAGGTACCAATTTAGAAATCTTTTGTTTGTTTTGTGAGAACAGGAGTTTTTGTGGGATGGGAATGGAAGTTTCTCATTGATTACTTTCCAGTGGTAGACGTGGTGGTTGAGGGCGAAATGTGATTCTAGTGGAACTTGAATGCATCATCACCGTTTACCATGACTTGTCATGTAATTTCTTACTCAAAATCCATACACCAAATAGATGAGATGAATGCCTTCTCAAACTCCGCTTCTTACTTTTCTTCATGAACCAAACAAGGGATAGGATTCAAAAATCAAATTCTGATATTAGTTCCCCTCATGGACTGCCACCATCTATTCTCATGCCTCTTCCCAACAAAAGATATGTCAGGGAAAAATAAAGCAAATTCACAATACATGTTGATAAATTAATTACCCAAGTGCCAGGGAAAGGCACAATAACTTGGATGTATAAGTTTTGTTGCAACCAAAATACATGTAGGAGATCAAAGTTGCAATTCAAATAACCTTTTTATGTAAAATATGATATAAAAAAAGAAATAAAAAACATAATTGAATACAAGGTGTAAAATACAAATTAAATATACACAAAAAGTCATTCAATATATTTCTATTTTAGCAAAAAAGTAGGAAGTGTCCATTTTACTACATCTGACTATCCACTTTTTCATTTGACACTTGAATCAAAAAGTTTGCTTAACTTCCCCGGTTGTTTCTGTTGGTCCACCCTACCCTAATGCGAATTTTGCTTTTTTTCTTTATCCGCATATGAGTTGAATTTCACACTCAAGGTGATAACTGACACGTACAATATGCTAAAGATAATTAAAGAATTTTTTATCATTACTTTCATGCAATTTTGTATTATATGTTTGATTTAGAACTAGGTGTGCTCTCTAACCTATGAAGATTCTTCAATGTATCCCAGTTTTTGTACTATGATGTTTCTTTGGTTCCTGAGGCTGAGTTTATCCAAATGTATATTGATAATAGGAAGCAAGAGCTCTCCTTGGAAGATTGGAATTTCAGAAAGGAAATGTGGAAGTTGCCCTTCGTGTATTTGACGGAATTGACCTTCAAGCTGCTAGAGGCTTTCTTGAGGAAGCAGAACCTGTTGAAGGCTCGCGGGACCTCGCAAGTAGACACTCGAAGAGGAGTCGGAGGAAGCGGAACCCGTGCCTGCCGCCTCCAACTCGTCGTCCTCGTGCGGCCCCTCCTCCTCGTCTGTCTGCCTAACCAGCTCATCATCCGACTCGTCCACAGGCGCCACCTCCTCCTCCGGCTCCTCACGCGGCGTGGGAGGAGACGGCCCCCTCCTGCGTCTGGCGGTCCTCCTCCTCCTCCTGTCCGATCCCTCCGCCTCCGCCTGTAGCCGTCGTGGTCTTTGGTAAATCGAGTTCACGGATCTATGACGGTCGCCCGCCATCTTTGTTCAATCACCTGCAATAAAAAAGAAAAACAAGACGTAATTAGAAATAGGTGCAAAAATGAATAAAACATAGTTACAAAAAACATAGTAATACATGTATTAGAAATATTTGCAAAAATGAACAAAACATAATTACAAAAAACATAGTATTACATGTATTAGAAATAATCTTCATGATTGAGATTAGCTAGATCATAGGTCTCGTCATCACTATCAACATTGTCCAACTCATCAACACTATCCGAAGGAGGAATGTTGTCTTCATTGTCATTGCCTAAACGTAATCGCTCAAGCATTTGTATGTCCTTCAGATTTTGCACCTCGTCTCAAGCGTCCTCGTCATCATCCCTTTCATTGTCTACTTTTATTCCAATCTCTTCGGTTAAGTCTATGTCAAGCCTCCCTTGTAGTCCATCTTCTTGATAGAACTCTCTATCATATGTGCGTGGGTTGAAGTTGTAATCTTCACCGTTTGGGACAGGTAGTTTACCGTGTGGCGATACCTTGTGCACAATAGACCAACCCTTAAGATGCTCGGCGTCTTTGCACACGTATGACGTATAATAAACATGGACTGCCTATTGAGCCACAATGTAGACATCTTTTCCTAGATAGACGGAATTCTGTCGAATCTCGACTAGCCCAAGCTTAGGGGTCCGTCTCGTTACTCCAGGATGAAACCAGTGTCATTTGAATATGACATGAGTAAGAGGTTTGAAACAATAGAATGATAGTTCGTAGATTTCTTCAATTCTTTCATAATAGTCGAGTCCATCAGTACCGGGTGTAACAACTCCGCTGTTTATGGTTTTTCGATTGGACCGACTCTGCTTGTAGCTTGCTGTGTGAAAACGATATCCATTCACGTCATAACCAGTAAATGACTTGACCCTAACGGCACAGCCGTTTGCAACCTGTCTCAGCTCGTCACTTATAGACGCATCAGTTTGGGCTTTCTGTTTGAACCAACAAATGAAATTGGGGCTCCCTGGTCCCGCACCCTGTGAAAGAAGGGTATCATTTTCTTACGGGGTAGGTTGCCTTGATCCATGCCAGGATTGACGAAGAAATTCCCTGTACCAACGAGAAACAAGGGGGTTGGACAAAAAGACAAGGACATACGACGAAATGAAACAAGTTCGTTCAGAACTTACCCAATGAACAGCTGCACCTCGACAAGGTTGGTCAACACATATAGCATGATACTGCGTCACTCTTCATTTTTCAATTGCTTAGTGGTCGATGCACTTGCGCTTCCGAGTTGCACCAAACCTTCTCAAATTTTTATCATAGCCTCCACATACGATATCACGACATCTCAACAAGTTTCATAATTTTCGAACTTCGTTTGCTTTTTATAGAATTTAAAAACACTTCGCACGCAAGTTCACGGTCATGTTTCGTGAACAAGATGTCTGAAATTTCGGGTCCGTTCCTGGATACGGCGTCACACTACACCAAGTAACATGACTATCATTTTTTGAATCATTAAATTCCATTATTCGTACCACGTGCAGTTCAAATTTATATTTTTCGAAAAAATTCAAGTAAACGAAATAAAGTAACTAAATATATAAAAAAGCCACAAAAAACCCCCCAAATTCTAACTAGTAGTTCCTGGTACTTTAAAAGGGCTGCACAAAAAATTTGGAGGTAAAAAACAAAAAAAAAACTTTGCCGAGTGCCGGGGCATGGCACTTGGTAAAGGGGGTCTTTGCCGAGTGCCAAAAATAAGGCACTCGGTAAAGAGGGTTTTGAATTTTTTTTAAAAAAAATTCCTTTTTGCCAAGTGCCTTCACAGAAGCACTCGGCAAAGACATTTCGAAAAAAAAATCTTTACCGAGGGCCGTGTCAGGGGCACTTGGCAAAGTAATTTTTTTTAAAAAAAAACCTTCTTTGCCGAATACCTAACAGCAGGCACTCGGCAAAGAAGAACGTGGCCGAACACCGTTACGCGGGACAGCCTATGCCAAGTGCCGCGCTTTTGCCGAGAGCCTGGCACTCAGCAAAGAAGTCCTTTGCCGAGAGTCTTTTTTTGCCGAGTGCAATTCTTTGCTGAGTGCGGCACTCGGCAAAGAAGGTCTTTGTCAAGTGTCCGATTTTTGACACTCGGCAAAGCAGTTTGCACTCGGTAAAGATCCCGTTAGTAGCGTAGCATTGGTTCTTTCTGCACAACAGAGATTTTCGGAAGCAGAAGTCGCAACAGACGCTGCCTTAGATGAGATAGACTGCAAAGTTGGATCAAGGATCTTTACTTAGGGTAAAGGCTAAGTTGAAGGTTGCTCAGTCATCGCCTATGGAAGCAGTTGAAGCTTACCGTGCTCTTCTGGCCCTCGTTCAGGCCCAAAAGAATTCCTCTGGATCTTGCAAGAACGCTATAGAGGTATGTTTTGTTGTTTCAATGCGCACAAGTATCAAACTGATTAGTAATCAGCAGAACGCAACTTCTAATTCTATCTAAAAAATATCTTATTGTCTTATACAATTAGCACACAAGACCTTTCTTTATTTAGAGTATCCTTTTATTTCCTATAGGATGGGTTCTGATTTTTGTGGAATATACAAGATTCATACTAAAGAATATTGTTCACTTCGTTTAGGCACCTATCTTTTTGACATTCAAGTTGGATACTCTATTTTCTGATGCTCCTGTTAGGCATGCATTCCTATGATTGAATCTTTAAATCTGTACTGGAAGCTTTCCCATTCACTCTTCACTCATTATTCAGGACGCGGATGGTAGTGTCACCGAGTTTGAAATCTGGCAAGGTCTTGCTAATTTGTACTCCAGTCTCTCGTACTGGAGAGATGCTGAGATATGTTTGAAGAAGGCTAAAGCCCTCATCAAGTCGTACTCAGCTGCAACACTCCATGCAGAAGGTGAGGCAAAATTCATTACTACATACCCTTATGCATGCTAGTGACCATGCATTTCTCTTTAACATGGGCATTTTGGAATCACTAGCTTAATTTTCACTATACATGTACCTATCCATGTTTATATGTACTCGTCCATGCAGGCTACATGCATCAGGCGCGAGACCAAACAAAACATGCGCTGGCCGCCTACGTCAACGCATTCTCGACTGAGCTTGAACATGTGCCGTCGAAGGTGGCCATCGGCGCAATGCTCTCCAAGCAAGGGCCGAGGTTTCTACCTGCAGCGAGGTGCTTCCTCTCGGACGCCCTAAGGGTCGAGCCTACAAATCGGATGGCTTGGCTTTACTTAGGAAAAGTGCACAGATCTGATGGGAGAATCTCTGACGCTGCCGACTGCTTCCAAGCAGCGGTGATGCTAGAGGAATCGGATCCAGTGGAGAGTTTCAGTTCACTCTCATGACAGATGCATGTAGCCACGGCATGAAGCTCCCTAGCTCCATGGGGATTTCTTCCCTCTTTTGTTCTGCTTAAATGAAGGAAATTTGGCGACAGATGTAGGTTGCATTATCTATTTGCTTGCCGTTCTATTTTATATAATAAGAATGCCTTGTTGACCATTAAACAAACATAACAGTGTTGCAAAGCTGCATTTCATTGCTCACTTTCGTTGTATAAGTAATTGTTACTCCCCGTTTTTTTTTAATGATGACTGCATCAGCTGTAAGACTAATTTCGTTACAAGAAACTACTACAGTATGAATATCCAGAGTGCTACTGATTTGATTTCGACTAACCACTGCTGTGGAGAAAAGCTGCAATCTGTCCTTGTTGCATCCTCGGGTGCAGTTAGCTCTCACCAGCCATATCACCCAAGCGATCAAGAAGCTCAAGTGCAAACACATGAATGCCCTTCACAGTACATGGGTTCTTAGGCTGATCAGTGAGCGTCTACTGATGACACCACAAAGCAGCGACGTTACAAATGCTAACATTGCAGATAAGTTTCCTTTTAGTAGAAAAAAGGCGTCGCATATAGAAGCTTGGACAATTTGTATTAGTCCGAATGTGCTCCTTGAAGACCAGCAAACCACGTAGCCAATAAAACCAGCAGAGGTCCAATTAACTAACTTGAGGCCCTTAATTAGAGATGGGCTTTGTCCACATGGCTCTCACTTGGCCTGTCCGTGGGCCATTATCATCCACTGGAAAGCGGAAGCCGCCGCTGTGTTGAGTTGAGACGGCTACTCACAGTGAATGGGCTGTACAAAAGATTGCAGTCTGCTTCTAGTTGGGGTCTTGGGGACCAGTGACTCAGTGAGCCCGATGGAGGCCCACTTCTTCTTAGTATTCCATTTCGATGCCGACCAATTTGCTTTTGATTTCATTTTACGCTGAAAAAAGTGAAACTGTATACCAAACAAAAGTGATGAGCACTGATTTCCTTGAAAAGTTATGCTGTGCAAGCCCTTTTTGTCCAGCGGTTCCTTTGCATTTTTTTATGGAAGACATAATTTTTGTTAGGTTTAACATTTTTTTCTATCTCACTCTATACAAAATCAAACAAAAATTTACACACAAGAAAACTGCGCCACTCTCTTTTTTTCAGCAAGGGAATGCAAATGCAGTTCTCCCTCGTCCTTGAAAACCTATTAAGTTCCGATCCTCTCTTTCCAAGGCAAGAATGAAGTCGGATGTCTCAACCCATAATGTGAAATGAACAAGATTTAGAAAGAATTCTACTAGCTCAACAAGGCTATGAAGAATCCTTGTTTAGGTGGTGCAGATCAATACAATAAGCCAAACCTTGTTTTTCTTTTCTCTTTTTAGCCTTAACTGCTCTTGAATGACATTTCATCTCACAGTGCGTTTTTTTTTTAAAATTTCGTGTTACAAGATTTGTCTGGAGTATTTTTCAAGTTGCATTCGTTTTATAGTCTTCAAGAAACAAAATGATTTATTTGAGGTTTGGGCACACATTGCGTTCTCAAGTTTGGGTGGGAGCAGGTGCAATTTGTTGGAAAAGGTTATACTCCTACATGGAGAAATATTCAGGGCTAGGCATCATAAGGAGAACGGGAAACCCATCGGGAAGTAGGTATGCTACTTATGGGAGACAACGACAATGGAGATCTTTGCAAAAATTTGTGCATACCTTCTAATAGGACTAGCGTTTATATTGCCGTCTCTACAAGCGTTGTTTGCTGTTATTTAAACCTTAAATCAACAAGAGGCTAAAACCATTAAAATAAATGTTCACGCGCATGTTTGAGTTTCTATTTATGTCCAAGCTTTGTTTGGTTTTTTTGAAGACTTAAATCAGCCAGAGGCAGAGGCTGGAATTGTAATAATGAAAATGCATTTATAATACTGTTATTTATAAATTTTTTTGTTTAAACGGAACTTACTCGATATTATAAATATTGTTTTTTTTACAAAACCGATCAGAATTTGAGATGGTTGGACTTATGATAACTGAAAATCTTTTGTATTTCAGGATAAATGAAATAGCTAGCTAGCCAGCTAGTTGTGACCTTTTTTCCTTGACTAGGTAGCGGGCCCGTACGTTGCTACGGGATAACTAACATTTTATACTAAAAACACATAGATCGCACGATAAGATAACAACACTGTAAAAATTAAATACCAACGTTAAAATGACATTTAATCCAAAAAGCAAAGTTTATGAATTTAACACAGTCATGGAGTGCGCGGCGTCGCAGGTTCACAAACTCCACTTTATACATATTCCGGTGATACGACTAAAATAATATTTTATATTGACAGGAAGAAATCTCCGATATCTATTTTTTTCGTACTCACAAACTAATGATCCTGGTGTAACAATGGAAAATACAAAGGAGCTATCCTCATGAATGCGCGGAACCAACGCCACTACAACTGTGCCATCCCACGATCACTGGTATGGTGTTGTTTAGCACTATTGTTCACTATTATCGCTAACTTGCTTCGTTGGTTTTATTTAAGTAATTTATGTTTGTAATTATGCAGGTGCTAATTCGGTTGATCTCACATTGGCACATGAGAAAAGTGGGGAAAGTTGACAAAACTCATGGTTTTGAGAACATACACGTATAATAGTTATGAATGGTTACAAAATGAAATATTATGAACAAAACACCGAAAGTGTTATTTTTATAACAATAATATAACACATGTTCAATTTTCATTATGCCATCACACAAGTGTATATACAACATCTCCGTGTAAAGTCTGATAAACCATTTAAAAATACCTAGGAATAGCAACAAATATGGCATTAGTGAGATATTATTTGTACAATATAAATTGAATGGAAAAAATGCATTGTATGCGTTAGTAATGTTCTGTTACCTCGCCTATGGCGTTAGAACCTCCTTAAATACAATATTCTTCGTGAAAGTTCCATCCGCTATTGGGGTCTTCTTATCCTTATCTTTTTTATTTGCCGCATTCTTATTTTTTTTCCCTCGGCATTCTTTTTAGTATTTCTTTTCTCTATCTTTTTGGCCTCCTCCTCTTGTGCCTCCGCATCAGGCAGGAGGGCAAGGATCTTAATATTGGTTCTTGACGTGGCTCTAGACATCGCAACGTACAACTGACTGTGAGAGAACACCGGTGTGGGTAGGTACACACCCACGTTCGGGATAGTTTGGCCCTGTGACTTGTTGACTGTCATGGCAAAGCTCAGTCTGATAGGAAACTGCTTCCTCTTAAACTGGAACGGGAACATCTCGTCATCAGACGGGCATAGCAGTATTTGAGGAAGGAATACCCGCTTCCCAGCATGCCGCCCCACCATGATTTCAGCGTCGATTGTATTTCTTCGGAACCCCCGCACCACCAGCCTTGTACCGTTGCATAGCCCATTGGCGGGGTCAATATTCCTAAGCAATATGACAGGACACCTGAGCTTGAGCTTCAAGACATGGGGAGGCGGCCCGTTGGGGGGCAAACTGTTAAGGAACTCTGATGGATAGTAGTTATATGGATCATCTACCACGGAGTAAAAACTATGATACACCGTCTCGCCGTCCTAGAACATATCAATTATTTTCATATTGATCATGTCCACACAATTGTTACGTGTAGATAAAATCACTATGGTGGTGATGTAGTCTTTGTCCGCCATGTTTGCATTTAGATCTAGAAAGATGATGCCGATCAATGTATGAAGATCTTTCTCGGCATCTCCAGAGTACGGGACACATATCTCGTCTGGAATACGTACATTGCCATCTCCGTTAACCTCTTCCGTTCCACCACCAACGCGCAATAGATAATCTGCAAACCACGGGTCACTCTGAGCCCTCATGTTGCGGACAAGCTTTAGGTGGCACATGGATTCCTAAAGATACGACCTTCGTAGAGAAGCACCGACTATTTGAGCTATGGATCCTTTCCGCACAACAGGGAGGATCTGTCTGAAATCCCCACCAAGGACAACAGTCTTTCCACCAAACAATAGGTTTGACTGGCCCATTATATCCCGTAGGTTGATGTCTAGTGCTTCCACATTTTGCCTCTTTGTCATAGATGCCTCGTCCCAAATTATGAGAGCTGCTTGCTGCAGCAACTTGGCAGTACCACTCTGTTTCATGAAGCTACAACAATCGCCCTCTTGAAGAGTGAGGGGTATCTTGAAACACGAGTGGGCTGTCCTCCCGCCTGGCATTATGGCTGCTGCGACTCCAGATGTAGCTGTAGCCACGGCAAGCTTGTCCTGGTGTGTAGTTTTGCGAGAAGTGCCCTATACAAAAATGTCTTTCCCGTCCCGCCAGGTCCATCCACAAAGAACAACCTGCCTTGTTTGCTGTAGACAGCGGCCATTATCTCATCATAGGCAGACCTTTGCTCAGTGTTGAGTGAGTCGCACAATAGCACATCTTTGGGATTCTGCTCGACACTAGCTTCCTCAAATATCTCACGAGGAATATGGCTGGCATCGTCGTATGAGTGATCAATATCTGGAAGAGAAAATGACCTTATGTCCTTCCCCATAGACTGTAGCATGTTTCTAATGTCTATCAAAACCATTTGTTGCACTAGATCTGGGGATGGATGATTACGGCTGTAGTCCTCTGACATTGCATCGTAGTGTTTTTTCCACAAGGCCATCACATCATGCGTCTTGCAGAATACCAATATTGTTGCAAATAGCCTCCGCAGAGAGGAAGGCATCTGGAATAAAGTAGCTTCAGTTAGACATTCATCTAGTGTATTGTCTTCTTCGATTAGACCCCTCCTTTCTGCAGCTTCATGGAACGAAGGTGGTAGCACGCCATCAACCATCCTCAGATGTTCGTATGATGTAGCACCAACAACATTGTTCAAGAGAACACAAAGAAAGTAACGTTCTCCCTCAGCAGGATGAGCCGAGATGACTCTTCCAACTTGAAAAACAGAGTTTTTTCTTTTCTGCCAGAATTTACTATCAGATTGCCAGGTAAAATGCTCTGGGAAGTCCCGATACAAGATTCTACGGGCTTCCTCATTATGCCTGTTTGCATCGAAGTATGCTGTCAGCATTGACTCTTCTACACCTGGCCTATTAACGATCCGTTCGACCTTATCCCGTTTATGAAATGCCACCATGTGCATGTCGAGTAGATGAAGCTGTAGCTACTGTACTGGTGGATGGTTCTTGCTCAAGTCAAAGTCATATATCCTCCATAGTGCTTCTAGAGGCGCCACCCACCGGGCATCTCTATACTACTTGATCTCATTAATGTTCCCTTTCTCGTCTACTTTGTCGGTCTCCCTCACCACCACCGATGCCCTGTCATGTCCCTTGTATATGTATTTGAATAGATACTTTACTGATTTAATGCTCCCACAAGCCTCAACATTGATATGGCAGTTGAAGGTACGTAGCAAGCAAGGGTTGTAAGGCACGCCCCATTGATTGTCCAGGTAATGGCCTCGTACTTTTAGCGTGCGGCCATCATTGCGTCGCCGATAGATGGGGTACGAGTCCTTTCCCTATGACGTTGCCTCATAGAATGGGCGCGGGTAACGATTCTTGCATGACCCGTGGCCCACCATGCACGGATAGTATGGATTTAGCGTCCCGCAGGGACCATGCATCATATGCTTTG